CATAACCACTACAGTGCTCTCCCTGCAGATAAGGAAAGCCGAAAAAAAAAAGTTTCAGCAAAGTTATTTTAAATATTTCTCTGCATGAGGAGACTCAAAGTTATTCTTGTCTGCAGTTGTCGCCTAACATCTGGATCAATATCCAAAAGCTGAGCAATCCGGAAGTGCTCAGGAGTTCTATGGACCATCTGTGTATTTTAGTGCAAGCTCATGGGGTGAGAGTGTGCATGTGGACACATGGCTGCTTCTGTGAGGACTGAGGTTGTCTAGTATTACTTCTAGACATCATCCAAGGTTTAGCTTTGCTAGAAAGAAGACACCACTTCTGCCCACAGTTTCAGGAGAGCGTGATTCAGCCTCCTGTTGGCTTGGGTGTCAACCACCACTTTTGACTGTGAGGCCTTCTGCTTCTCACTTGAGGGTTGAGCGTGGTGTGCTTTCTTAGGTTTAGTCATGATTAGGAATATAAATCAGGCATCCTCACCCAAATAGCACCTACTCCTCAGCCTCCTTGCCTCTCCTCATAATGCAAATGGGGATAATTTCCTTACTACCTGTCAATTTCATACAAGAGTTTGACAATCCACAGAGACGTGTGACATAGGAGTAGCTTCAGGGAGCTAGAAATTTAATCATTATTCTAGTTTACAAGCCACAGTTTCAACATATCTCGTCATTAAGTATGATTTTACACCATTGCTACTGTTTCCAGAGCTCCTTCTCCCCAGATTAGCTTCAGTGACCTTTCTCTGCCCTCACAGCACATAGCTCTCTTAAAGCGCACTTCTCACGCTGTATCGGAACTCCTTGTCTGTCTGTCTGTCTGGCTTCCCTACCTACTTCACGTTCTGTGGTACAAAGTTCTGCATGTGTCTTGCCCTGGGCTAGAGGTGACACAGCATGAAGTCTACGTTACAGAACTCACTGGTGGCGTGAAAATTCCCCAGCTTTGCCCTTCCCTGTCTCAGGCAGAGCATCAGTTAACTTCTGCTTTCTGTTCTGGTTACCCATGGAGCCCTGCGAGGTGCTGGCATGAGAGCAGGGACCAGGTCTAAGCTCATTCCTCACTGGATACTTGGCATCTAGCCAGTGCTCATGGTAGATGTTTTAAAAACATTTTGAAAATGAATGAATGGATTAGAGCCAAGAGACTCCACGTGAAATTTCATGGAAGGGTTTTCTCCCTTTCTTTTATTCATTTATTTAATCCCTGTATTGAATACTTACTGTATAGCAGGCACTATGCATATATTTGAGGGGGAAGGTAGCAATTAGATACAGGGGAAATACTGGGATTAATATACACAATCAGGGAGTTCCCTGGTGATCCCATGATTAGGACTCTGTGCTTCCACTATAGGGTACTGGGTTCGATCCCTGGTCAGGGAACTAAGGTCCCACAAGCTGCAAAAAAAAAAAAAGGCACAATTAGAAAGGGCCCTTAACATCACGTAGAGCAGGAGGAGGGCAAGTGGTGAGTGAGGACATGCTTGTTAGGAAGATAGATGAGTTGAGGACCTAATGTTTGGCTGCATTGTGTTTAAAAGAAAAAAGGAAAAAGTAAATGAAAGAGTTGAAGGGATGGGAATACAAGGTGAGAATTCCAGGCCAAGGGAAGTATTTTATGATGCAAAGTCTCAGGACAAGAGAGAGCACTGTCTGTGGTAGAAACTGCAAGAAGTTGAATAATACAGCTCAGAGCAAAGATGGCCAGGTGGCACAGGCCAGAGGTGAGGACCAGGAGGAAGGGATCAGATCTCAGTGGTATTGGGGGTCAGGTAGGGAGCAGCGTTTCATCCTAAGGCACATGGAGAGCGATTGACGGGCTGTAAGAGTAGGATGATGTCATCAGATTTATTTTAGGAAGTCACTCCAGCTGCAGAATGGATTGTTGGGGATGAAGGGATTCAAAACTGGGTATGAGAGAAGAGGTGGTGAGGACTGCAGGGCTGGAGAAGGGTCTAGTTTGACTCATGTCTTCAAAGAGCTTGGAAGAGAATCAACCAAACCACTGAAATCCAAGTAGAAAGTCATTTTATTCCACATCAGCCATTCTTTTTCCCCTTCAGGTCTTTGCTGACAGCTGTTGACACATGTTGGATTGGCCTGGGTGTGAGTGCTGAGGCCTAAGAGGATCTGGTTAAAAACCTCGTCCCCAGGAGAAGCGAGTCAGTGGCAAAGGAAAGGGACCAGAGGTGACCAAATGGAGACAGCAAATTATCGCTCATAAAGATGCTGGGAAAGACAGGCTTCCCCTAGAATGAGCTTTCAGTAAAAACCTTAATTAGGTCAAGGTACTCCCATGACGTACTGTGTTCTAGAATCTTGGGGTGAGGACATTTGTAATTTGAAAAAGTAAACTCAATATCATCATATAACTTCTCTTTGGAAAGCAGGCAAAGAAAAAGAAGCTTTCTTGTTTGTACTATAAACTAAAAGTAACTAAAGTAGACAAAATCAGCCTGGCTGTGGGATGTGCAAATGTTCTGTGTTATGTGCGTGTTGGTCACTGACAGGGGTCTGGGGAAAAAGTAGAATTTGCCAAAGGGGGTGGGGGAGTAGTGGCACAGATAGTTATGCTTATCAACGCGGGGAGCAGGGATCAAGAAAGTTTGAAAAGCAGTGAATTAAAATCATATAAGTGCTTTAGTCATAAAAACTGAGAATTTATTTATATATTCTGCATTTTTTCAAACACAACATAATTATCAAATTTGACATCTATTACTCCAAACTCTGTGGTAGCCAATGGGACCCAGAGACTAAGAAGGGACCACCCTGTCCCCCAAAGTACATGATCTAGTAGAGAAGACAGAGGAACGATTAATACCCTTACATGACAAGTAGCATAATAGAGCATGTATAAAGAACATGAGAAAGAGAGGGATTGATTTCTAGTTGTTTAATTGTGTTTAGAGTTGACAACATGAATCGACATTGGGGAACATGTATAATCCTAGATAGTAATATAAATATTAAAAAATCCCATGAAAACCCTAATCCTCATAGCCTCGCATGGAGGACATGGCAGAGATGTACAAGGGTAAGGATGACCTGGCTGAGGGACAAGTACCACATGACCAGGGTCATGAACTCCAGATCAAAGGGGACTCCAAGTCAGGTTGTTACTGTGACATCACACTGTATGTGCCTTTTTTTGTTTTTTTAATTAAGAAATAAATATAGGTTTCATTTCAGAGGCCAAACATAGTCAACCTTTTCAGGTATTGAAGCCTCCAAGGAATTGGTTCTTAAGCTCCAAAATGTGCTCTTCTGACAATTTCTCTCCTATTTTATAGGCTCACCTCTTGGATTTGCTGTGACTTAGAGGAAGGGCCAAGCTTAGGAAGCAGACGGGCCTGGCTCAAATCTGGCTCAGGACTCACTGATTATGCCATCTTGGACAAGCATCTGAACGCTCTGGTCCAGTTCCCCACGTGGCACACTGAGGAAATAAGATTAAATAATAAGATGTGAGTGAAGGCACCCTAGTAGGCACTCTGCTTCTGTCTCTACCACCACCGCAGTAAAGGTACCATCTCTCATCTGGATCTTTATCAATGTTTGTCTTCATTTATTCTGGGCCACTCCAGTCTGTCCATTTCTGCACAGAAAACAAATGTGATTGTGTCTCCGACATTGAAAGATCAAAAGCCTCACCATGATTTATATAATATTTCTTTCCAAACTGCAGGACATGAGCCATTAGTGTGTCATAGAAACAACTTTGTGGGTTACCAGCAGCATATTTTTTAAAGGGGAACAAAATAGAACACAGCAGAAATACCAGATTGCAATGTCAATTTTAAGCATAAGGATTGTTACATGAAGCTTGTTTTCACAGTATGGGTCCGGGTTTTAGGAAAAAATGTTTGACGGCCTCTAGCCTATGATCCCCTGAATGCTGTGTCTCCTGCCTCCTTTAGCCCTATTTCTCATAATCTTCTCCCAGGTCTCTGTTCTCTACCCACACCCACCTTCCTTAAATTCCTCCAACATATCATGTTCCCTTCTGCTGGGAGACCCCTTAGCACATGCTGCTTTGCTGTTTGCCTAGTTCATGTCAACATCTTGGTCTCAGACCAGACAACACTCTTCAGGCAAACACGCCCTGAATTCCCGGAGGGGCAGGTTCTCAGAGCTCCACGTTCAGTGTGTCATTATTCCTTTAATAGCTTGCTTCTTTAACGACAAGCTTCCCCACTAGTTTTTGTCTGCAGGACCGCAGGGACCCTATTCTTGTTTACCACTGTACCCAGTCGCTGAACCCAAGTTGGCACATAGGCACTCAAGAAAGAAATATGAATCAACCAACCTACCAACCAGTGATGTTGGCCGGTCTCGTTTCTTTCTTGGTTTTGGTTTTGATTCTAAGCATCGCAGCACCAAGTAAACCACAAGAGCTGTCCTATTTCCCTAGGTTAGGAATTTCCTAGAAGAGGATTTTTAACTTGGGTCTCCTGGCTTCTGATCTGCTGAAACTTCATCAAAGTTGTGTCCGTGTATTGGCGGATGAGCATTTCTTTGGGAAGAGGGAGACTGATTTCCGTCGGATGTTACTGGGGGTCCCTGCCCATCAGACCCAAAGAGCCACAGTTCTGTGGGCATCTCCTGCCGCCTCTTTGCATCCTTGAGGATCCCTGGGGCGTGCTGGCTCAGGAGGCTTCTAGGCTCCCAGCCCCGGGGACGGTTCCTTCCCGTTTCCTCCGATTAAAACGACCGGGTTCATATCTTGCAGTCTTGGGAGCGCGCGTCCCCGAGCCTGCGAGCGCAGACTGCAGAAACCAGGCTGTGCAAGTCCGGTGCATCCCCGCGCCCGGCGCCGGGCCTGCGCAGCCATCTTCAGGGAGGAGGGTGAGAGGGAGGCGCGGCCTCGGGACGCGGACCCGCCCCTGCCGCCGGGGCCGCCCAGCTCGACCCGCAGAGCGCTAGTTCAGCCGCGCCGCCCCCGGCTTCCGACTTCCCCGCGGCCCCGCTCGGCGGCCTCGCGCACTCCCCGCCCGGCCCGCAGACGCGCCATGGGCCCCGCACGCTGTTTGGTGCTGGGCGGCCTCCTCGCTCTGGCGGGGCTGTTGGAGGGCCGGCTCGTGAGCGAGCAGGAAGCCGGCTTCGGCGAATGCGACCGATTCTTCTACGCCGGGACCCCGCCCGCGGGGCTGGCGGCCGCTGCCCACGTGAAGATCTGTCAGCGCTCCGAGGGCGCCGAGCGCTTCGCCACCCTGTACAGCACCCGGGACCGTATCCCCGTGTACTCGGCGTTCCGCGCCGCGCGCCCCGCGCCCCTGGGAGCCGAGCAGCGCTGGCTAGTGGAGCCGCAGGTAAGCGAGGCGCTTCCCAAGCCCGACCGTTGGGCTGGCCTCCCAGGGCGCTTTGCAGCCACCGTGAGCGGTAGGGCGGGGAAGGGCAGCCCTAGCCTTCGGTGCCAGGGTCGGGAAACCCGGGTTTCCACCCTCCCCACCGCGCCCCTGGAGTTACAGACTGCCTCGTCCCCCGTCAAAGCCACGGCCAGAGCTGGGCGATCTGCGAGCCTTCGCTTAAGCCTCAGGGGTCCGAGGCCCCCAGTGGGAGGTGGTTCTCTTTGCACTTCAGAGGAGACATCTGTAGTGTCTCATTCACTTCCTGAATAATGAGGACTGTGAGACGGAGACCCAAGAGACCACTCAGATCTTCGGGATGCCTAGGCTGGGAGCTCACAGGTCGTTGCCACAATTCTGTGGGATGGGTGGGTGAGTGGGCATTTTCATGCCCATTTTACAGAAGAGGAGATCAAGGCTCAGCGGGGCGATGAGACTTGCATAAAGATGGGGCAGGTCTTTTGGCTAGAAGTTCACTGCCCTTCCTACTAGGGAAAAGCTTTTCTTCTGCAGAGGCCACCTGAGCCTGAAAAGCCTTCCCTCCTGCATAGGACATTGAGTAAATTCGATCTGAAGTTAATGTTGGGTTAGGACAATGAAATAAAGGTATGGAGTTTTAGAAATGCGATGGGATAGTTACAAATAGTAGGGACATTGACTGCCTCCTACTAATGGAAAGAACAAACCTGTTTCTCCTGACTCTTCATATCTGTATTATCAGACCCCTTGGAAATCGTGTCATCTCTCAGGGTTTTCTGTTCTGTCTGGTGAGAGTGACCAAACACTCCAAGAGGCTCCCAGAGGGCCTGCTGAAGCTGCCTTCACACACCCTGCCCTAGGTCTGCTCAGCCAGCCTCCTGTGGAGAACACCCTGCCAAGCTCCCCTGTCCCAGCAACCAAGGACACCAGATCTGGGGGAGGAGCTGAACACTCAGCCCACCCATTCTTTTTTTTTTTTTTTAGAACTGGTTGACCTTGATCTTTTCTTGTTTTACTTTTTTTAATTGAAATATAGTTGACTTACATCAGCCTGCCCATTCTTGATGGCCACAGCTGCCTAGGCATTGTGAGCAGGGGACTGGCTTTCAGCTGTTTTATTCAGAGCCCTGGGTTGTAATTTCTGTAATATCATTCAGTTATTTCTGGGTCTAAGAGCTTGACCAGATCTCAGGCCATCTGCACCTCCGTCTCTTTACCTTCTCCACAGCCTGTTGATGTCAGGACCTTTGAGATCAGGCATGTGAAAAAGCCTTTGTAAAGTATACACACTTAAGGCATATAGTAACCTAAAGTTAGTTTGCCCCCATCTGCACCCCTAGAGCTCTCTGCGTTTCCCCCAGTTCCCCAGTATGCATGTGATTGCAGACCTGTGAGGAAAATAGATGACCTGGTCCTTTCTCACCGAGGATCTCATGGATGGCTTGGGGAGACAGAACATACATGTGAGGAAGACGTGGGATGCATGCTGAACAAATTTCAGTTAAATCCAGAGCTACCACATTTAGTAGTCACCCACTGTGTGCCAGGCACTTGGGGTGCCAGGGGAACAGAGTGTAGCTCTGGGACTCAAAGGCTTCCTGATCTGCTGGGTGAAGAGGTGGCAACACCTATGATTAGAGCCACGCTGCGTGGGTTTAAGCCTCAGTTCTTCCACTAACTTGCTGTAAACTTGGGCTGGTTGACTTAGAGGTAATAACAGGGTGATTTTGAGGCTTGAATGAGTTACTCCATATAAGGTTCTCGTGCCTGGCGTATCAGTCCTATAGCTGCTATTCTGACATAAGCAAAACATCCTCAGTTTAAAAGGGTAGGTTTAATCCGTCTTGGAGGTGACGGGGTAAAGCCTTTGGGTCAGGGTGACATTTGTGCTTTGCCTGGAAGGATGAGGCGGAGTTCAGAAGGGAGACAAGGACAAAGACATTCCCAGCAGAGGGGACATGCTGTGTGAGAAACGCATGGCGGAGTCAGGGATTAGTGTGTGGGGAGTGGTTGGAGCAGCTAACCCAGTACAGGTGAGTAGATGACTCAGTGAGTAGATGACTCAAGTGGTCAGAATAAAGAGGAGTGATGGAAGGGAGGGGTCGGGTATGAAGGAGTGATCAAGGAAGGTTTGGGGCGGGGGTGTGGAGCAGAGCCATTTATGCAGCCCAAAGGAGCATGACTCATTCAGCAGAGAGGAAATGGACAGAACCTTCACATAGGCAGTGGAGACTGTGGGCCCTGGTAATGAGGGATAGGACTGGAGAGGTAAAATAGGGTGGGGAAGGAGGAAGGAGCTGGTGGGGTGGGAGGGAATAATTCCAAATGGCAGCTCCAGAGGTGAGAGGTGCAGTGGCTCAGAAAAGCACAGGAGGTCAGAGTTCCCTACTGGGGAGGTGGGAAGGACCCAGTGGCTGAGCACAACTGGAAGGATGCTTTTTTCTGCAAGACAGCTTTGTGCTGCCCATCCCTTCCCACCCCAGTGTCCAGTCAAGTCAGCCAGGAGCCAGGGGCTATTAGGACGGAGGCAAGGAAGGAGAGAGGGGGGAGAAGCCGCCCGATTGCCATGCTGGCAGGCTCTGGAGCACACTGCAGCAAACCTGCCCCCCTGAGGCCTGCCTCCCAGCCAGTGTGCACACTGCAGAAAGATGCTCAGGGCTCAACGTGGACTTCTGGCTGCTTCCAAGCACGCTAATGCTGAGTCACCTTGTGCCCACATCACCTCTTTAGGAAGTTAGTGTTACCAAGAGGCCCAGCAGATAGAGGAAGAGGCAGGGGACCAAAGGAGCTGGGTGCTTGCCTTCCGTAGTTAGTCAGGTAGGGCTGTTCTGACCCTGAGGCTCCTGAAGCTCAATTAGGGCAGCTCGCAAGGCTGTCCTGCAGTTTCCCTTTGGGAAAAAAAAAAAAACAACCGAAAACATCCTGAATCGAAGATGATAGAAACTTAGTCACTAGTGCGTAAAACGTTTAGGGTGTTGTAAGCACTCTTGTGCTTAAAAACACAGGGACCCAGAATTCCACCCTGCAGAATGCAGTTTACAGGGGCCCCGTGCCCTGGCTCCTGTCTGTAGCTCCAGCCTGTCTCCTACCCCTCCCTACCCTCATGTACTGTTGTAGCATTATCTAGCTGCCCAGAGTGCCTCTCATACACCATTCTGTTGGTCACATTTGTTCCTTTGCTCATGCTGATTCCTTTTGCCCCAAATGCCCTTTCTACACTGCCCCCGTCTTGCCCCTCACTGCCTCCCTACTCCATCCTTTAAGACTGCCCAGGTGTCACCTTCTCCAGAAAGAAGAGCCCACCTGAGTGAGGTCCACTTCCTGAGTTAGGTCCACCCCACAGTGCTCCCTGTAATTTCTCTAGTTTTTTACTTACCACACTGTTTTATACCTACCTGCTTGTGGGTCCATCTCTCCAGTGGAGAGACTGAGGGCTTGCATTTCTAGTGCCTAGGACGTAGAAAGCACTCAGTAAGTGTTGAATAAAATCATTTGATGTTCAGAGGTTCAGTCAGGCAGCAGTGGGTGAGATATTCTGCTTCAGCTTCCTTGGTGGAGAGCTGCCTGCTTTAGAAGCTTGCCTCCCAGCTAGCCAGCAGCCACTCTTCCAAACATATTCCATATGCAGAGCTGGAACCTTCCTCTAAATCCACCCCACCTGTTCTAGCTCGGCCTTTGAAACTACCCCAGGTGATTTCGATCTCTTTAGCATCAGATGACAGGATCCCGCATTTGAGGGGCCTTCTGAAGGACATAATGAGAACTTTAAAAGGAAGCGGAGGGGGGCTTCCCTGGTGGCACAGTGGTTGAGAGTCCGCCTGCCGATGCAGGAGACGCGGGTTCGTGCCCCGGCCCGGGAGGATCCCGCATGCCGCGGAGCGGCTGGGCCCGTGGGCCATGGCCGCTGGGCCTGCGCGTCCAGAGCCTGTGCTCCGCGGCGGAGGGGCCGCAATGGTGAGAGGCCCGCGTATCACAAAAAAAAAAAAAGGAAGCGGAGGGACTTCCCTGGAGGTCCAGTGGTTAAGACTTTGCCTTCCAGTGCAGGGGGGTGCGGGTTCAATCCCTGGTCGGGGAGCCGAGATCCCACATGCCTCCTGACCAAAAAACCAAAACATAAAACAGAAGCACTGTTGTAACAAATTCAATAAAGACTTTAAAAATGGACCACATCAAAAAAAAATTTTTAAAAAGGAAACAGAGAAGACAGAGGGCTGTTGCGGGTTTTACGTGGAATGTGGTCACCTTTAAATTGAGAATGGGGAGAAGGCAAGAAAGAGATGAGACAGTGTGTCCCTATTAGCAGGACAGAGATGGTCCGGAGGGTTTGCAGTCAAAATTGAGAACTGGGTTCTGGTTTAGTACAGGGAGCCTCAAACCTTTTAGTTGCTCAGCTCATTTCTGTTTAATGTAAGAATTTTTGGATAAGGTACTAGTGATGCCTTTGCAAAGGATGTTGTCAGTTCACGCTAGAAGCCAACGTATAAGACCCTGTCATTTAAAAAAAAAATTTTTTTTTTTTCGCCATGCCACGCAGCATGTGGGATCTTAGTATCCCGACCAGGGATCAAACCCATGTACCCTGCAGGGGGAGTGCAGAGTCTTAACCACTGGACCGCCAGGGAAGTCCTCAAGACCCTGTCATTTTGTAAACGTGAATATTGGAAGGAACTGGTTTTATATTCTGCTTATACAAAAATGCTGTGAGGTAGATCTTATTCTCTTCATTGTAGAAATGAGGAAACTGGCTCAGAGAGGTTAATTGTTGTGCCCAAGGCCACACAGCTTGGATTTGAACTCATGACTAGTTGCTTCTAGTCCGGAGCTCTTTTGATGAACCATGGAGATCTTTGACTTCCCATGGATCCACTGCATTAATGGTCATAGGGCTTCAATTCTCATCTTTTATATGGAAATCTTAATTTCTACTCCATTTCTCTCTCCCAGCAGTCGTAGGACAAGTCAGAGCACATATTTGGCCACGTGAA